AATATTTCTAAGAGAAGATCGAGTTGTTACCCCTTTGGATGGATCACCTATAATTTCACCATCCTTGACTTAGTTGTACTCTCTTGGATAAGATACTTCCCTTTCTTCAATGGTTGGATTCTCAAGAGGATCATGAGTTTCCTCATTTTTCGTTTCTTCCTTTGATGATGGTTCTCCAACGTTATGTCTAACGTCATTTGTATTTATAACACCTACATCATCATTCACACAAGAATCCTTCCTCGGAAGGGGATTATCATCGAAAACAACATGTATAGACTCTTCTAAAACTAAAGTTCTTTTATTAAATACACGATAGGCTTTAGAATTTAAGGAATAACCCAGAAAAATTCCTTCATCACTTTTAGCATCAAATTTGCCAAGGTTTTCTTTATCGTTGTTTAAAACAAAACATTTACATCCAAAAGGATGAAAATAACTAATGTTAGGCCTTTTATTTTTGAAAATTTCATATGGAGTTTTCTTTAAAATTGGCCTAATCATTACTCGATTTACAACATAACAAGCGGTATTTATGGCTTCCGCCCAAAATATTTTGGCAAATTATTTTCACAAAGCATGGTTCTAGCCATTTCTTCTAAAGTTCGATTTTTCCTCTCAACAACTCCATTTTGTTGAGGGGTTATAGGTGCTGAAAAATTATGGCTAATACCGTTAAAGTTACAAAATTCAGTAAATCCAAGATTTTCAAATTCAGTTCCATGATCACTCCTAACACTAGTTATAGAGTAACCTTTTTCATTTTGGATTACTTTTGAAAACGTGATGAATTGTTCTAATGCTTCATCTTTAGTACTTAAAAATAGAACTCAAGTATATCTAGAATAGTCATCTACCAAGACAAATGCATATTGTTTTCCACCCAAGCTAGTAGTTCTAGTTGGCCCAAAAAGATCTAAATGGATCAATTGTAAAACTCTACTAGTTGATACATCATTAATGGATTTAAAAGAAACTCACTTTTGTTTTCCTTTAGCACAAGCATCACAGATTTTATCATTATCAAATTTAAGCTTAGGCAACCCTCTTACTAGGTCTCCTTAAATTAACCATTGCAAAACACTCATACTAGCATGTCCTAGTCTCCTATGCCATAACCAACTATCATGTTCATCCTTAGCAACTAGGCATAAATTAGTCATATCAAAAGAATCTAAATGCACCATGTATATGTTTCCTATTCTATGACCAACAAGCATAATCTGATTAGATGCAATGTCAATGACTTTACAACCATTAATTTCAAATAAGACATTGAATCCTTTATCGCATAATCGACTAATACTCAATAGATTATGCTTTAATCCATTCACATATAAAACATTTTTAATTTGTATGGAAGAGGTATTACCTATTGTACCAATACCTTCAATGTGACCTTTTGAATTGTCTCCAAAAGTCACTTCTCCTCCATTTTTGGTGTTAAGCTCAATGAACCAGCTTTTGTCTCCGGTCATGTTTCTTGAGCATCCACTATCAAGGTACCATGAATTTGAATTTGTTTCCCGTGCCTTGTAGCAATGCTCCTTTCCCTACAAACATAGATTAATTTTTTGATTTTTGGTACCCAAATTCTTTTGGGTCCATATTCATTAGTTTCCAAAATCCTAGTCCCCTTAGGTATCCATTTGTGTAGGATATTTTTATCTTTAGTAGTAATGAGTTCTTTAGGAACCCATATACTTCTAACGATTTTTCCATTAGAGGTTCTTTGGGGACCTCTATGATTGTAGTTTCTAAAACTTTTTCTAACAAAGTTGGATTTTGAATTTCCACCTTTTTCAAAATGTTTTGTTCCAACTTTATCAAAAGAAGTTTTAAGATCATCAATTTTCTTTTGATGATCATCATTGATCTTTGAAAGTAAATTTTGCAAATCTAAATTTTTCTTTTCAAACTCTTCTAGTTTGATTTGCAAATCTTTGATTTTACTTTCAAGATCGTTGTTGGTTTTGGATATGAGTTTGTTTTCATTTTTCAATTTTGAAACATCATTTTTATATTTTAAAAATAATTTCTCATAATCCGAAGCCAACCCATTATATTCCTCTAATAACTCATCATAGGATAAATCATCAAAATCGGATGAGTTAGAGGTTACCTTAGAATCTTTCCCAAATGCCATCAAGCACAAGTTAGCTACTTCTTGTTCCTCTTCATCGGAACTTTCTTCATCGCTCCATGTAGCCACATGAGCCATGTGCTTATTCTTTGATTGACCCTTTTTCTTCAATTATGGGCAATCATATTTGACATGCCCTGACTTTTTGCATTCGTAGCAAATGATTGGGTCTTCTCTTTCGGTTCATTTTTTAGGCCTTCATTTTATTTGAATTTTCTTCCTCGATAAGGTCTCATCATTTTTCTGAACCGTTTGGCAAACAATTCCATTTCCTTGTCATCGACATCGTCATTCGAATCACTCTCATCTTTTGTGGATTTGAGAGCAACTCCAATATTTTTCTTCTTCTCCTTCTCCTTTGGTGTCTCGTCAATCTTGTCGAGGTCCACCTCATCTTCGAGCATCATTTCATGAGTGAGGAGTGACCCATTTAGCTCTTCAAGAGTTAAGGACGTTAAGTCCTTAGACTCGATGATTGTCGTCTTCTTTGATTGCCACAATTTTGGGAGGGAGTAGACTAACTTCCTTACAAGCTTTTCATTTGAAATGATCTCTCCATATGATTTGAGACCATTGACAATCGTTGAAAATCTATCCATCATAGCTTTGATATCTTCATTTGCTTTCATCCTAAAATTTTCATAGCTATGCGTTAGAATACTAATTTTAGATTTCTTTACCTCATCGATACCTTCATGAGTGACTTGAAGTTTGTCTCATATTTCTTTGGTGGTTGTACACGATGAAACTCTTCCGTATTCATCTGGTCCAAGAGCACAAAAAATGATATGGATGGCTTTGGAGTTGAGCTGGAACATTCTTGTCTCTCCTTCACTCCACAACCTTGGATGAGTGAGAGGTTTCATGTATCCTTCTTCTACAGTATTCCATGCTCCCATGTCACTTGCTTGAATGAAGTACATCATTCTATTCTTCCAATAGGCATAGTTAGCTCCATTGAAGAAAGGAAGCTTGTTGACGGGCATCGAATCGAGACCGGAGTCGAAGTTTAAAGCGGAGGCCATTGATGACTTTGATTATCGATATAACTCTTCCCGAATCGACTCAAGAGGCGATTAAACCTTCAAATGAGTTAGGCTCTGATACCAATTGTTGAGTTAATCGATTGACTGAATCGGCCAAGAGGGGGTGAATTGGCAATAAAAATTTTTGTGGAAGCTTTTGCATAAAATTGAAAGAAATAGCACAGCGATTTAGAGTGGTTCGACTTTATCAACCAAAGTCTACATCTACTACCCTAGCTATCCACACTAAGGATTTTCCAACAAATTCACTAATTTGTTCTTTCTTTTGAGGCCAAAGAGATAACCTTACAACTCCCTCAAGAATATACCCCAATTCTTGAGAACACTCTTTTCTCAAAGAGAAATACAAATTTGTAAACTTACAAGAAAAAACTCACAAGGAAAATATGTTTGCACAATTCTAGAGCAAAGAAATAACACTCAAGAATAAATACAATTGAGCACAATAAGTGTTCTTTGAAAGCAAAATGAATATTGAATGAAAAATAGGCTTGAAATGCTCAAACTTGAGGTTTGATGCTTTCTCTTTGATTCTCTCTTGATTCTAATTGCTTGATGTTTCTTGTTATTGATCAATGGCTTCTAAGCTTGCTTAAATACACCTTGAATCACTTCTGAACGTTGGGGATGATTAGAGAAAATAATATAGCCGTTTTAGTGTGAAAACAATTAATAAAACAGTTTGGAGCGTGGGGGGAATCGATACCCCCTATGGGGAATCAGTTCCCTAAGTGTAAAATTCAAATATTTCGACCGTTATACAAGGGGGAATCGGTACCCCCTGGGGGGGAATCGGTTCCCTCCGAGCATACTGGAATTCTCGGAGCCAAACCATTCAGGGGGAATCGGTACCCCCTTGGGGGGGAATCGGTTCCCTCTGAGCAATCTGGAATTTTTGGCTTTGAAATGGTTCGAAATACTTTGTAAAATTATTTTGAAATTGTTTTAAGATTAAAACTTAATTTTACACTTTGAGTAAGGATTAAAAAATGATCTTTGAAAGATTTGGAGTAATGTTTTGATATTCGAATAATTCTATCGAATATACTTAGAAAATCATTTGGAAAATCTTAAAATTCATTTAACTTAATTTGTTATATCGAAATATCAAAATGTTTTCAACATCAACTTCATCTCCCCCATGCCAATTTCATTTCATTTCTTCTTTAAGCCCTCTCCAACAATGCTCTGCAAGATCAACGAGAAAACTTCATTGACCGACAGTCGATTCCGGTGACCACCATGTCGACTGCCATCTCTGATCACTGTTCAAGGCCAACTTTACTCGTAAGCTTGAATCGTCCTCCCAAACATGAATATGGGGTTTTATTTCCCAAAATCATCTTCGTTTGTCTTTGATATGAGGAAAACATTTTAATTTCCATGGGTTAAAATTCTTCAAACACCATCGTTCACCGTCCGATGATGCCAGTTCAGAACTATATCATTCTCCCCGTCAAGAAGAACTTCCTCACCGATCGGATCTTGAATACAACAACCTAATCACCAAAAAATTGGAAACCCCCGTTCATCAACCGTTTTCCCTATCTTTTATATTTCTTTTTTCCTCATTTCGAGTATTGATTGTTATCTAGGTGTTTAAATTATATTGTTTTTCATAAATAGATGTCTAAATCATTTTTTACTCATCCAGTGCCTTGATTATAAAAGCCGTAATAAAACCTCGTAATACGTGTTACAATCTAAAAATTTTAAATTTTTAGTTTTCTTAAAAATAAAAATATTATTAAAAAAAATTTAAAAATATATATTTTCAATTTCTTCTCCAACCCGCCGCGTCCCGCTCCAACCTTTCCCTCCCCTGCTTCCATAGTTTTGCCATGGTCGAATGGGTAAAGGCAAAACGGCTAATTAAATTACCGATTAAATCATCAGTTTCCACAGTCTGTTAAACGGCTAATTACTATAATCAATGAAGTATTTGAATTTTTAGGGATTAGATATTGAAATTTAAAAAATTGAGAATTTTAGGTTTTGAAATGATAGTACAGTTGTAACTGATTAGTGGATGATCGACGACGTATATGTGACCAATTGTCGACAGATGAAAGGTCGAAGATTATTGACGTTAAGAGTAAATGAAACTAGAATAAAAGGTTTTAAGAGTTTGATTTTTTTAATATTTAAAAAAATTAGGGCTTTTTCAAAAATAAAATATTTTAAAATTATTTTAAAAAATAAAATTTTAAAATTAAAAGATTGTGACACATATCACTTAACAAATTTTTTCTAAAGTCCGTTAGAATTAAGGCACCTAAAGTAATAACGACTGTAACGTTAGACACCTAGATAAGTTAAAAAATAGTATAGAGACTTATTTGAGAAAAACAATATAATTTAAGTATTTAATTTGGTATAAACCTAACCATAATAAAAGTGCCTAGTAATTGGGTGACTAACTAAGTAATTTATCCAAAATAATAATAACAATCGATTCCAAGAATGAAGCCGGAATACAGAAACTGTACCTGAGTCTCTCACAGAGACGTGCTAAAGAATCTGCTCCAGTTCGAGAAGCAACATCCTCGATCAGTGCTGCATTCGATAGGGTCACACTTTCTGCGAGCCTAAACTCACAAAGTTCTTTCAAGGAACATGCATCAGTCAATACAGCAGAATGACCGCCACCAGCAGCTAGTTTACGCACTTCACCAACAAACCTATGATATAGTATTGTCATCAAAGCATACACCATAAAATAGTGCAAAACAGGCAAAACAATCAGGCTGTTCATACCAATCAACCGGTGATGGATACCATGCATAAATAGATTTATGATTCGCTGCCTGACCGTAACTATTATAACCCCATCCATTAATTCTTCCATCTCTCAGACGAATAAGTGTGTGAGAATGTCCACAAGCAATGAGCTGGACACCGGTCGGGACAACCAAAGCAGGGATATTACAAAAGAATGAATCGTTAAGGTTGCATGAAAAAAAACCCGTTTGAGGGCCGAGGCCTAGCTGTCCTACTTGACCACCACCCCAGGCATAAAGCGCTCCCTTTGAAGTCAATGCACAAGTATGTACCCCACCACAAGCAACATCCTTTATGCATATACCGTCAAGGGCAACTACTCTCCTCGGCAATAGTTCTTTATCAGCAGATTGGAGGGAACTGTGTCCGAGTTGACCCATGCTTCCTAGACCCCAAGTATAGCTGAAGTAGAAGAAGCAGATAATCATCAATAATAAAATCTGTTGATAAGGTAAATATAATAACCTCAGATTCTTTTAAAACGAGATGAATAACATCTATTTTGATGTAGCACATGGGTGCATGCATGAATTTTAATTTCTAAAACACCATAGACAAAAGTATGGAACTGGCGGAGATACCAAGCTTCAATACAAGCCTAACTAAAATGAGACTCAAGTATCAGCAATCTCCAAATTATACAGACTACCATAATTAAAGATGCATGAAAACGAGCTCATACAATGAACGTGTGAAGTCATTGAAGTTCTTTTACGTTCTCTAAAGTACAACCCTGCAGTGCATGATGTAACCAAAGTAAATTAAAAGAGACTTGCATATCACAGTCATCTCATTTTCATTGCATCCGTCTCCTCTTGGCTAATGTGAGTTTCACATAAGAAACTACATCCAAGCCTTTATACCAAGTAATTAAATTGTTTAAAGAACATAACTGACTTCCCCATCACCTTTTTTCTCTCTCTATTTTTTTCTTGGTAAATGCTAAAAAAATTCAGCAAGAAATAGTCAGTCCGCTAAGATGCAATGACTGTTAAACTGGGAAATATATAAACTACAGAATTATGTCTCACAGTGCTTTGATAATGGTAATTCTATAACCTAAAAGGCTCTTCTATTCTTTTAACACAAATCTTATCTCCATCTAGATCTAGTAAGTCCTTAGGATAACTTACACCTCGCCTTTTTGAGAAACAGCTGCATTGTGGTACTCTCCACACGACACTTGGGTAATCTTCACAAGCTCAGGAGCCTCATCAAGGAATTTTGCATAAGAATTTACTACACGAGCCCCCTGTAATCCTTCGGAAGTGACGTCTCTGCCTAGCTGCCCGTACTCATTATAGCCTGGTTTATCAGAACAGTGATAAATATCAATTAACAGACGGCACGAAACTGGCATGAGTACTTAAGTTTCCTTTCCTAAATCTAGGTTTTTTAAAGAATGCAGTGTATGCGCACATTAACTACCAATAAACCTTTAATATACTTGTGAACTCTAGTCTGAAATAGTACGCCTTACCCCAAGCTTGTAGTAGGCCTTCCTCTGATAAAGCAACTACATGCGCTGCTCCACAAGACACTTGACGGATGAGCTGTGATAAACCAAATTCATATTAATCTTATATAATAGAGCATTCGACAAACAATAGCACAGAACCTGATCCTTGGATATAAATCATGACCAAAGTTTATGAAGTATATTACCAGTAAAAAAAAAAGTGGAAAGTTTTCACAAATTCAACGGAGAACACAATAGTGAGGATCATGAAAGATCAGGCCATTTAAGCAGCAAGTTAAATGAGAAAGCTACAAACCAAAATATATTTGTCTCAAACAGAAATTAAAAATGAAATGGAAACTCCGTATTACAGAATTTGATTGAAGATAACTTAGTAATAAAGTTAAGTTCTCTCTTTCTTTCCCCTTGTTCATGTTTCAACAAAATAGATTTTCTCCATGTGTGGTTAATTAGTCGATTGATTGAAGGAACAACCTACCAGCCTGAAAATCGACTGGAAATGTTACTTATTTCTCTGCTAGGTCATGAGCTAGATAGCATTCAATATAGCTAATAGAAGCCCAATAAAATTAGAAGCAAATGATACTGCAAAATTCTCGTACATGTTAGGTCGTGACTGATTGAAGCAAAGCAATCTTCAGCTCATTTGTTTATGAAGGAGATGACAGTAACCTCCCCTTGATGGGAAACAACTTTAAATATATACAAGTATCAAACATCATGTATAGGACCATGAAAAATAAAAGAATTAAAAAAGCAATAAAAAAACAATAACAGTTGAGTTGAAGAAATCAGGAGTTCAAGACCATACCGTGTTAGGAGCAAATGCACCCCAAAATAAATGAGGTAAATTTGATCCCTGTAATCAGATGTGGAGATGTTATTGGAGATCAATATCAATAAAAACTCTAAAAATGGAAACAATGATTCTATAACCATAAATTCCATTACCTGATTTTGTCCCCAAATCCAGAGTCTACGTATTGAGATGTTCCCATCATTTTCACGAGGTTCTGCAATAGCTGCGGTGCAATGTGCCCCACAAGAAACAGATTTCACAAACTCCGTCTGCAATTGTTTTACTTTCTTTGGGTGTTTCCTACCCTTCTCAGTGCCATCTCCTAGCTGTCCAAACTCATTAGCACCTAGCAAGATGCATCAAAAATATAATTCTTCTTCTCTTCTTCTTTTCCTGATATGAACAAACAAAAACAACAAGAACATCTACATCTTTGGAAAAGACTAGTTCATTTATGTTTCCAATAGTCAGTGGCACAAAACCTTCATAGATTTACTATCAAAACATTCTACACCTATATTTCTCCAACTCTTCATTTTCCTTGAAGTACAGTGTCCATATTCGAGCATGCGTATCAGGTTATGACCCTTCAAAAAGTCTCTAGATGCATAAAATAGATTGAACATACCTATGCTGAATAGGTATCTGTATCATACACACAAGCTTATGATACATAGATCTATACCAATGACAGAATATTATATACAATCATTCACACTAAAGATAAATTCTCATTAACAAGGAGACAGTCCAGAAGCAAATTAGTTATTACCAATATAATTCAAGCAATACATACAACAAATCGGCTCGAAGGAAACCAAACAACAGAAGAGTATGTCATTGGACAAGAATAATTCCAGCCATCGGCAACAAAAATCAAAAGCAAGATCAATACAATAAAAGCAAAGGAACATACAAATACCAAAAGCACCACAATCTTCGAACTTGAATGACAATACAATAACTTAAAGAGTAATTAAAGAGAGGAAAAAAAAGCTGAGAAAATGTCCCAAAACCAATAGAATCACATCAACATAACCAAACACAACATTCTCAATATTCTCAACATTTTCAAGCCATCAAGGACAAAATTCAAGTGGCAGGACAAATAACAAGAAAGCACATCGATTTCAAAATGGAAAACAACAAATCAAATTCATTTCGAATAAAACAAACAAACCCCACGTGAATAATGACCCATCTGAGGCCACCGCCGCAGTATGCTCACGGCCGCAGGCGATATCCAACCAGCGGGAATTTGCCCCCGCCGGACACCCAAAAAGCTCGGGCGATAGCTGTTTAGGGATCCTGAGGTGTTGCTCTTTCCCTCCCCTACCAGTCTGACCGCTATAATTATATCCCCACACATAAATTGCACTCTTTGTTGGAATATTCACAGAACGGGTCATTGTTTCACCCATAATTGCATCAATATCCATCTATTTACACAAAAATATAGATGCAAAAGAAAAAAAATGAGAAGAAGCTACTATAGCCAAAATGAAAAATTAAAGGGTTCTTTTTCAATCGAGCTTCATGGCGTTACTTACCCTTGTTTGGTAGGTGGGAAATGGAAGAAAGGAGAAAAAAAAGAGTAAGAAAATCCCAGACGAAAAGTCAAGTGCTTTTCAATTAATAAAGCAAATGATGATGATACAAAATGAATTCGATTAACGTGAAAATGGTGGAAAGGAAAGAGGACTTTAGAAAGAAAAAATCTGACTTTTTTTTCTCCTTCTAATCAATTCACCAATTCAACAAAACGTTGATTGATTTCAAAATAAAAGAGAAAACGAATTGGAGAAAATTTGAAGAACACACAATTTTGAGAATGAAATTGGAATTGGATTCCTTCGATTAAAAAGAAGAAAATAATTAGTAAACTGAGATTTTATTACAAGACAAAAAAAGGCAAAGACAGTTTCTTTTATGGAATAACAAGTAAAAACGGTGGTGTTCCGGGCATGATTTTCATAACCGGACCGGTTATCGAACCGGTCATGTTATCGGTTTATTGATTCAATCGATCGAATTAATTCGATTGGTCAAAATAACCGAACGACGTCATAATTATTTAAAAAATTAAATAAAAATACTAAAAATATTTAATAAAAAATAATTTTTTATATCACAAATCATACTCAAAGTAAGTCATAACATATATAAGTTAAAAACTATAAAATAAAGTGAAACAAAATGATTAAAATTAACTACAACATAATATTTAAGGTAAAACATATTAAATAATAAATATAATTATATAACTATAATTAAAAAATAAATTTGGGGTTAAAAAAATCATAACAAAATGATATTGTTTGGTTTAATTTTTTTTAAAAACAATCACACATGGCTAAGAAACATAGAAGAGTATCCTCAAAGTTTAAAGAGTAAAAATATGAGAACAAAACAATCTCACATTGCTAAGAAACATAGAAGCGAATCACAACTAACTTCTATAAATAATAGAGATAATTTGGCATTCAAAATCATAGAGCCTTTTGGTGAGTATTGAGTGAACTATTCTTTCACTTCAATCAAGCATGAATTTTAGGCTTCAATCGAGCTTCTAACTTCTTTTTTTTTTGAGTTTAAGCCTTTTTGAGTTCAAGTTTCAATATTATATTTCGAGTTTAAGTTGAACTTGATAATTTTTAGCTTGTGAGTTTGAGTTAAGTTGAGCTTACTTTTAAAGTACTCGAGTTCGACTTGGCTCATTTAACAAACGACGTTGTTTGGTTTATTTTTTTTAAAAAAAAACAAAATCCGGTTTTTTCCGATTTTTTCCGGTTTTCAGCCGGTTCGGTTAGAACGGTTCAGCGGTTCTGACCGATTCACTAATAGCGGTCAACCGATTTAGATTGAACTAGACTAAATAACGGTTTCGGTTAAACGTCCGGTTTTCAAAACAAAGGTTCCATGAACCTGGGAATCGGGTCGGATCTACTCAAGTTTGGAAATTAAAAATGACCCGAAAGTAATCGTCTACAAAAATATCCATGAAAATGCGTTTCGTCGGCAACCAGAACTCTTGTAGACACAAGATATTGATTTTCCTTTTTCTTTGTCCTTCTGTAAATATAATTTTTAGTACCTAATTTACATGCAATAAGATTTAATTTTTATATAATTTTTAGTACCTAATTAATGTGCAATAAGATATTTAATTTTTTTAACAATGCAATTAGGCATGTAATTTTTTTAATAGTGCAATTACGTACTTAATTTTTTTAATAGTATAATTGGGTTGTTTTTGTACTATCGGACATTAAATTTTTTTGAGTTACATAGGTTCAGTTATGATTAATTTATACTTATAATTTTAGTATTAATTAAATGGATGATATATATTACAAATTCCAAAGTTTTTTTAAGAATGACAATTGAATTTCATTAATAAAATGAAGGAATCAAAATTACAAAGCATTTAAAGAAAAAATTGAAGACGGTAGTAACCAAAAGCTCACACATTAAATTAAAATATTAAACCTAAAGATACAAAGAGAATGAAAACTTTCAAACATCAAAACAATCTAGTAACATTCATAAAACTCATTGTCTCTGTCTAACGAGACGTTTTAATATATGATAAAGTAGTAGTGAGCGAACCAAACAATTTGGTAGACTGCTTCGCTACACTTTTTTGATTACACCGACAAACAATCATTTACAAAAGACGTGATCTGACAATATGTGACCACCAACAAACCAATCAAGAAACAAATATCGTGAGGAACTTTGTGGAAGCACAAACACAACCGTAAAAGTATACGAAAAACTTACCGAAAATATAAGGAATGTGCCATAATAGCAGAGAAAAAACGTGTCATAAGAACAGAGAAAAGTGTGTCACAAGGACATAAATTCTTATTTAAATTTGATAAAATAAAAAAAAAACAAAGACATAATATAAAAAAAAATAAAAAAATAATAATTACCGTCGGTTGACAACTAAATAGGTTATAGAAAAGACACAAAAATGCTTGCATACAAAGTCAAAAGTTAAACGTTAAAATTTTAATTATGTAAACATATGATTTTAAAAAGTGCTACTTACTTAATTATATAAAACGTAAAATTAAACACCTAATTACATCTAAAAAACTATATTCCTAATTACGCTAAACAATAAAAGTCGAATACTAATTATATAATTAAAAAAAAGTATAATTTAAAAATCTAAATAATATATTAAACATAATTAGGAAAACTATTTACCATTACTTTTCTTAATAATGCTTTTCGTTTTTTTTAAATGAATACTATTTTTTATTTTATAAATTAATGCATTTATTTCTAAAAACAAAACTCATACTCTTGTCATAGTTCAGCTGTGAAAATTTGTAGAAAAAGGGAATAAGGGATTGAGTAGAAGAGATTACATAAGAGAATAATCGACAATTTCATTGACTTTTCAGATATGTTTCCTTTTTTTACATTTTTTTCACGAGACCTTTCTTCACATTTTTTTTAAAAATTAGGACATTATTAGAAACTCCTTTTAAAACTATAAGGGGAAAAGAGTGCCCTAAAGACTGTATTATGTTGGAAGATTATCATTTGTTAAATCAAAATAAATTATCTCGGGACAAATCAAGTAAAAAAATAATTCCTAAGTGAAGTGCCCACAAAGATAACTTATAAATAACCTTATTCTAAGAGCGGGGAATAAATTGAACAACAAATCCCTCATTGGTATGTAATATCTCACAAACCTCTTGTAAGTGAAAACCTAGAGTCGAGAGATCTGCTTCTGCTCAATGCACCTTGTTAATCACCAACACGGAGTCAGTTTCAAACAATACATGTTGCCATGAGTTGTTCCGAGCGAGATGGAGACCTACTGTAAATGCATGTATTTCAGCCAACCTAGCTTCAACACATCCTAGAGAAGATGACGCGAGGCCTCCTAGTACCAACACTGATGAATCACGAGCAACTACGCCAACCGTAGCCAATCGAGAATGGGGATCAAAGGCACCATCAATGTTAACCTTGATGATAACTTGAGCAGGGGTACTCCACCTCTCTTTATTTGCGTGCAAATGTACCTGTTCAGTGGAGTCATTGGTCATTAAACGTCCAGATATGTGAGCCTGAGCATGAAGAAAGTCTTGTTGTAGTAACTTCACATTAAGCACTAGTTCTAGAGGGTTGATACATGTCATCGTGTACCTTGACTTTTCTACCATTCCATATGTCCCAAAGCAAAACAAAGAAGCCTACAAGCCATTTGGAATCAAGTGTACTTATCACAGATTCAAGTCAGTTTAAAGGAGATCTTAATTGACTAGACAGAAAGGAAGCATTCATACCTACAATGGTAAAAGTTTCTTGAGCATAACTACAATCTCGCAAAACATGAACTACAGTTTTTTCCTCAGTTTGGCACATAGGGCACAATCCATATCCTGGTCCAACTACTCGTTGACGAAAACCCATAGGGAGCCACTACATCAAAATAGATTTTTAGCGGCGTTTTTTTAATTCTTTAGCAGCGTTTTAAAGCGCTGCTAATAACCATCACGACACCAGCAAAAGAACCACAATAAGTGACGTTAAAACTTACGTCGCAATAATTAGCGGTGTTTGTGGAAAAAATGCCACAAAAAGTATAGGTATATAGTGGCGTTTTGGAAAGAAAAGCCACAAAAGATCTAGGTATATACCGGCGTTTTGGAAACAAATGCCGTAAAAGGTCTAGGTATATAATGGCGTTTACAAAGGCAGGTAATTGGCGTGATATATAGCAGCATTTTCTTGCAAAACGTCATGAATTACCTTATCTTTAGTGGCATTTTCAACTCAAAACGCCACAAAAAACGTGCTTTATACTAAACATATTTAATATTCACTATAGCAAAATGGGTTTATAGCGGCGTTTTTAGAACAAATGCCGCTAAAGACTTGTACTTTAGCTTTCTATAAAAACACCGCTAAAGACTGTACTTTAGTGGCGTTTCTATAAAAGCATCGCTAAAGACTGTACTTTAGTAGCGTTTTTATACAAACACCGCTATAGAATCGTACTTTAGTGGTGTTTTTATACAAATGCCGCTAAAAACTAGTACTTTTAGTTTGTAAAAAACACCACTAAAGACTCATACTTTAGTGGCGTTTTTATACAAACGTCGCTAAATACTCTTACCTTTAGTAGCGTTTTTATACAAACGCCACTATAGACTCATGATTTAGTGGCGTTTGTATTTACAAACGCCGTTATAAACTCGTACTTTAGTGGGTTTTATACAAACGCCGCTAAAGACTCATACTTTAGTGGCGTTTTTATACAAATGCCGCTATAGACTCGTGTTTACAATTTTTAAATCCCAACCCCTTTTAACCTTTTTAATTTTTCCCATTTCACCTATTTTTGATGTCCCGCCATAAGTTAAACATAAACCCCTAATAGAAGCATCTCTCTCTTAAAATTGAAACCCAATATTTACAGCATTTGTTATTCTGTTTACCCTCACTTCCGTGACCGTTTTGATCTTTAACCTAAGCTAATTTTTAAAATCTTGCAGCAATAATCCTCGAAAACCCTCGAAAACTTGAAGTTCAAAGGATAAGGAGGAGCAGAGCTAGGAAAAAAATCGAATGTTAGCTTGCAAGTCTCTTTTCAGGTAAGATTCTTTTACTTAACCCCCTGTTTGTTTACTGAGAAACTGAGAAGGGAAAAAATAATTAAACTCTGTAAACAAGAAAAACCCTCCCTACAAGGTAAAAACAATTAA